AGTTGTCTCTTTTCTGAACTTTTTCTAGTGCCAGCATATCTTTTTTGAGATGAGGAGACCACATCTGTACGCAGTATTCGAGATATGGGCGTACCATCGATTTATATAAGGGCAATAATATATTCAGTCTTATTCTCTGTCCCTTTTTTAATGATTCTTAACACCCTGTTTGCTTTTTTGACTGCCACTGCACACTGCGTGGATGTCTTCAGAGAACTATCCACGATGACTCCAAGATCTCTTTCCTGACTTGTTGTAGCTAAATTAGCCCCCATCATATTGTATGTACAGTTGGGGTTATTTTTTTCCAATGTCCGTTACTTTACATTTATCCACATTAAATTTCATTTCCCATTTTGTTGCACCATCACTTAGTTTTGTGAGATCTTTTTGAAGTTCATCACAGTCTGCTTTGGTCTTCACTATCTTGAGCAGTTTAGTGTCATCTGCAAACTTTGCCACCTCACTGTTTACCCCTTTCTCCAATCATTTATAAATAAGTTGAATAGGATTGGTCCGAGCACTGACCTTTGGGGATCACCACTAGTTACCCCTCTCCATTCTGAGAATTTACCATTAATTCCTACCCTTTGTTCCCTGTCTTTTAACCAGTTCTCAATCCATGAACAGACCTTCCCTTTTATCCCTTGACAACTTAATTTACGTAAGAGTCTTTGGAGAGGGACCTTGTCAAAGGCTTTCTGGAAATCTAAGTACACTATGTCCACTGGATGCCCTTGTCCACATGTTTGTTGACCCCTTCAAAGAACTCTAATAGATTAGTAAGACACGATTTCCCTTTACAGAAACCATGTTGACTATGGCTCAACAGTTTGTTTTTCTATGTGTCTGACAATTTTATTCTTAACTATTGTTTCGACTAATTTGCCCGGTACTGACGTTAGACTTACCGGTCTGTAATTGCCAGGATCACCTCTAGAGCCCTTTTTAAATATTGGCGTTACATTAGCTAACTTCCAGTCACTAGGTACAGAAGCTGATTTAAAGGACAGGTTACAAACCTTAGTTAATAGTTCCGCAATTTCACATTGAGTTCTTTCAGAACTCTTGGGTGAATGCCATCTGGTCCCAGTGACTTGTTAATGTTAAGTTTTTATCAATTAATTCTAAAACCACCTCTAGTCCCCTTTTAAACTTCTATAGTCTTTTTGACTTTGGTTCCCAGGCTTTTTACATCCTAGCATTGTCTCTTAATACCCCCTTGTGTTTATCAACAGGTGTCTTATCTTGAGCCATTCTGTTTCCTTCCTGCTTGTTTTCCTTATATATTAACACAGTAAACATCCAATTTGCTAGGTCAACCTACAGTATTCATGAATTATTGTAGAGCAGCTCCAAGCCCATAAGTCTGTTTCTAATTGTGATCTATTGTTCTCAAGTTGTTACTGAGATGGCCCCCAAAAAACTTTTCAAATCCACAGCTAGATACAGTTGCTAACCTTTTGTTTGGCTTTAATTTGGCCTTATTGATCCTGTCAGCCATAATGAAGCAAGGTATAGTTGCTTGTTAGGAAAAATGCTATTCATTCCATTCTGCTTCAGGAATCCTTTCAAAAGCTGTACAGTGTCTCTTTGCTTTCTGCGGAGTTTTATGGGTGTTATCCTAGTTCTCTTCATCACCTACAGCTGTGTGCTTGCTATTATGGTGGAATGGCTGTTATTGCAACAGTATTTCCATTTTGACAGGCGTGTCAAGCCTTTATTCTTTTTAAAAAAATTCAATATGTCAAAGCAAATATGAACCTAGTACTTGAATTTTCCATATTGGAGATGAGTTTATAGGTTTTTCCTCATAGACTGGCAAATATTCCCTAATCACTGGCCAAACCTAGGGATCTGGGCCATAAACTGCTTAGTGCAGTATATGGAATGGGGGGCAAAAAGTGGTACAAAGCAACCTCTCCACTCCCGTGATCCTCTGCTTGACTGGAGGCCAAACCAGTCCTATCATAGCTTAGGGCAACCTCAACTACAAATCTGCTGTAAGGTGCATCACCTAGTGTGGTGATTCTTTGGAGTGCAGCACATGCTAGTATTCTCCCCTCATAGCCTGCCCAAGAATGTCCCTTGTGTGCTTGGGAGCTGAGTGTAGAAGCAACTTTGCTGGTTTTGTGCCACCCAGAGGTTCCCTCTGTTGCGGCAGTTGCTACTTCCGCACAGCCAGAGTGTCACAGGAGGGGCAGAGCTCTGACCAGGATCTGTCACTATGGCTGTAAACTCTTCATAATCATGTAATGTTTTGCTCTGAGACTGAATATAATGGAACCAACTTCTTATTCCTGCTTGCCTGCAGGGTTCTGTTGCAAATAAGTTTTATGTCCATAACGACATCTTCCGCTACCAAGATGAGGTTTTTGGTGATTCGGACACCGAGCCTCCAGAGGGTAAGTAAGTACCAGGATCCTGGAGAATTCTACCAGTGCCAGATTTTTGTGGCATTAGTGGGCATAGTAAACTACTCTCAATTCTCAGACTAGAGAAGATTCTTCTCTTATGAGAAGGCATATTTGCAGTAAATTCAAATTGTCTCTCCTGTGTGTGTGTGTGTGTGTGTGTGTGTGTGTGTATATATATATATATATATATATATATTATTT